TCGGCTGGCGCGAGATGCTCGACGAGGGCCCGGACGTCGAACCCACCGTCCCAGGCAAGAGCGCGCCCTGCACCCACTGCAAGGCAGCGGAAGGTCGGGCTGGCCGCGCAGTTGGGCGCGCGCCGGCTTCGTTCGGAGAACATCCGGCAGACGTCCAGGCCCGCCTCCTGGAGGCCAACGCGATACCACTTCGACACGACCCCGCGTTCGCGTACGGTCTGGTCGCCCAGGAGGTGTATGCCGGGTCTGGGAATTGGTCTGCCGCGCTTCGAGCCGAGGGTATCCGGGTGCTGGAGCCGATCGAATATTACGACGACCCTCTCCGAGAGTCCGGCCCACGGCCGGACCACGACACCCTTGACCCTGCTGTTCGCGCGCGCCTACAGGAGGCCGCGCGGACCCCCATGGGCCCCGATGTGGCCAACGTCTGGTGCTGGGGTACACCGTGTGGCTCGTGCACCGACCTCGGGCTCATGACCCAGCCCGGCGGGGCCCCGCAGGGGACCCGCGCGTGGGGGCGCCCCGAGGGGGACGGCTCCAAGGAGTTCGAGCTCGTCGGTAACAGCCGCACCCAGCTCACGTGCGACACCTGCCGCATCCTCCACGATGCCGGCAAGGAGTTCCTCGTCGAGTCCTCCTGGCCTTCGGGCCGCTACCCCAAGATCTGGGACCAGGCCCCTATGCAAGAGCTGCGTCGAGCGACCGGGGCCATGATCGTCCCGATCCACATGTGCGCCTGGGGTAAGGCCCCGTCCGATGCGCCAGAGAGCCGCCATCGCAAGGGCAGCTGGTGGCTCGTCAGCCCCCGGCTGTACTTGCACGCCCTGTTGCTGGCACGCCGATGCCCGCGCGACCACCGCCACGTCGAGCTGGAGGACCACGTGCCCGGCACGGGCATTAAGCGCACCAACGAGGCGCAGGTTTGGGCCCCCAGACTTTGCATCGCGTGGGCAAAAGTTCTGAAGGGAGCCTATCACCGCTGGTCGGCGAGCCAGCTGCGACGGCAGCTGGCACATGTATGGGAGGATGGCCCGGGGGCGTCCCCCAATATCGCCAGGGCGAAGGCGCCCGGGCGCCTGCAGGGAGTCGACTTCACTGGAATCGAGCGCCTCAGGCCTCGGGGGACGGCTCAAAATGCGGTAGGCTCGGCCCAGCCATGCATCGAGCATTGGCGGGGCTTCCCAAGCCCCCGTTGGGAGAGACACAGGGGGAGGCGAGCGCGGGCAAGCCTCGCTCCCCATGTGAGGACCCGGCAGGAGATATCTTGGAGGACCTCGACGGGTGCAGCCCGGCTGAGCTAGCTACGGTCTACCTGGCCTTCTGCGCGGATCACCCTGAGTATGACCCCGAGGCCATGCGGACTCTGGTTGGTCTGGGGGATCGGCTCCTCCAACGGACTGGGTCCCTGAAGGAGGCGGCCGCGCTTGGGTAACCCTCTCCGCGGTGTCCTGGGGGACAAGGTGCGGCGGTGCTTAGGCCGAGAGCACTTCGAGTACGTCCGGGAACTGGCGGAAGGGGGGCGTCTGCGCGGCGGGGCGCGCCGCGGCGGCGCGAGCGGGCCCAGCCGTGCCCTAGCGTGCGAGCCCACATCGACGAGGCCTACCAGAAGGTATGGGCTGATGTGACGTGGGGCATCGTCTTGGTAGCTTCCCAGGCGGCAGAGGGATTCATGACGGAGCTGGCGGAAGCCCCCCTTGGGAGGGCCCCGAAGCAGCTACCGGACAGAACCCTATCGTCCGAGGGGCGCATGATCCACGCGATGCTCTCGGCCAACGCCGCCACTCATAAGCGCGACCACCCACCGGCCGTCCAGCCACGCCATCGGCAGGTGGCGAGGGCGGCGGTATGGCACCGCGCGCGTCATCCCGGAGCGCGCCTGCTCTGCGCCAAGCGGGACGTCTCGCGGGCCTTCAAGTGGCTGGACATCGCCCCGGCCGATGTCGGGGACTTTGGCACTTCATTGCCGGGGGCCCGCGCCGGCATCGAGGGGGACATCATAATCGTTTACCTAGCCATGGTGTTTGGGTGGACAGGAGCCCCAGGCAATTACATGATGCTCGCCCTGGCGGCCAGGGAGCTCCACGAGAGTTATCGGCCTGGCGAGCCGCGCTGGCACGACGCAGCCCACTTCCATTCGGAGTGGCTTATGGATGATCCAGTGGTGGTGGAGCCCGACATCGGGGTCCGGCCGTGGATGGCCTGCGACGCGCTGGACGCTTCCATACGGGAGGTATTCGGGTCCGAAGCGGTGAACGTCAGCAAACGGGACGCCGAGGGGGAGCCCTCTACTACTCAGATTATCTGGGGGCTCAGCATGGACTTCGAGCGCGAGCGAGTGGGGCTCCCGGAGCCCAAGGCCATGAAGATGCGATTCCTCCTGGCGGAGCCGGAGCTGAGCTTCGGCTGCCGCATGGTACGGCTGCGGACCGCGAGGGAGCTGAGTGGGCTAGGCCAGTTCTGCGCTTGCGCAGCTCCCGCCCTGAGCCTGGAGCTCCCAGCGGTCCACCGGATGCTGTCGGGAGACCCATGCCAGGCCTACGTCCACCCGCCGGGCGACACCGAGCAGGTAGAGGCTGCGTGGGACGACTGGCACCAGACCCTGGACTGGCTGCGCGTCTGCTTTGAGATGCCTGTCGAAGGTAAATTCGAGACCTCAGGCCTGCTAGGCCTACGCGAGGCCCTCGCGCTCCCGGGGGCGCTCGGCAGGTTGCGCTGTCTGGGAGGCGATGCCACCCTGGACCGGATTGGCGCGCAGGACTGGACTTCGCGCGAATACATCGTGGCGGAGGCGGCTTCCTACCTGGAGACGCTCCGCTCCGCCCCCGGGGTCACTTGGCAGGGAGAGGGGGAGATCATCGCGGTGGTCGAGCTCCTTTGCCTGATAGCCCTGGCGGCTGAGAAAGGCCCGGACTGGTTCCAGCTTCTCCTGCCGTGCGTCACGGACAACAGCAATGTCAGTCGTTGGCTGCGACGCCGCCGTGCACGGAACGCGGTGGCGCGCCACCTGCTTCGCTTCTTGGCCATGCTGGAGCTACGGTACAAGTTCCGGGTCGTGGACGGACTTTACTTGCGAACGTACCACAGCGAGTTGGCCGACTTCGTGACTCGAGCCACGGTGGCGGAGGTACGCCAGCGGATGGCGGAGGCGGGCTGGACCGAGTTATCACCAGCAGCCCCGTGGGGCGAGCTGGTGGAGGAGGCCGCCCAGCGCGAGCTGCGGATGCCAGGAGACGATGGCAGAGACGAGTCAAGGGAGCCCGAGAGGCCCTGCCCCGCTACGCCCCCCTGCAAGTCGACGGGGCGCGGCTACTGGAGGTGGGAACCGCGTGGCCCCCCTTCGGGGAGGCCTGGGAGAGCCTTGGCGGGTCGGCGCTGCTGGCACCTTGGGATGTCGGCGACCGATGGGGCCCGGACGGCGGCGACCACCTCAAGGACCCCGCAGGGGCACCACAGGTCCGCTGGGTGCCCGAAGATCCAAAGTGTTGATTTTTTCAAGACGCCCCAAACGTAATTATATTGAGAGATAGTTTTGATATTTTTCAAACGCGTTGATATCGAGTGAGAAGTATTGATTGTTTGAAGTATGTTGTGATTTTTCGTCATATGTATTGTTTTTTTTGTGAATGTGTTGATTTTTTTTATATATATATATATATAAAAAAAACACGCAGAAGAACACAGCCCCCCTCCCCCTAGGCACTCTGGCATCCTTGCCTAGGTTACATGTAATTCCAGAAACCCAATTGACAATTTCTGTGGCTCTTCAGGAGGCCGACGGTGACACGTGTCACCCGCACGTGCGGGTGACCATGGTCACCCGCGCGCGCGCGCGTTGGAGTTCTGCGTTGTCCACAATGGATAAGTCGTATGTATACTTCCAAAAATTGAATTTGAAATTTCTGGGGCTCTTTAAGGAGGCCGACGGCGTGCGGGTGACCATGGTCACCCGCGCGCGCGCGCGTTGGAGTTCTGCGTTGTCCACAATGGATAAGTCGACATGTATACTTCCAAAAATTGGATTTGAAATTTCTGGGGCTCTTTAAGGAGGCCGACGGCGTGCGGGTGACCATGGTCACCCGCGCGTGCGCGTTGGAGTTCTGCGTTGTCCACAATGGATAAGTCGACATGTATACTTCCAAAAATTGAATTTGAAATTTCTGGGGCTCTGTAAGGAGGCCGACGGTGACACGTGTCACCCGCGCGTGCGGGTGACCATGGTCACCCGCGCGCGCGCGCGCGTTGGAGTTCTGCGTTGTCCACAATGGATATAAGTCGACATGTATACTTCCAAAAATTGAATTTGTAATGTCTGGGGCTCTTTAAGGAGGCCGACGGTGACACGTGTCACCCGCACGTGCGGGTGACCATGGTCACCCGCGCGCGCGCGCACTGGAGTTCTGCGTTGTCCACAATGGATATAAGTCGACATGTATACTTCCAAAAATTGAATTTGAAATTTATGGGGCTCTTTAAGGAGGCCGACGGTGACACGTGTCACCCGCGCGTGCGGGTGACCATGGTCACCCGCGCGCGCGCTCTCTGGGAGTGATGTATTGTTTACTTGTGATCCAACCGCTGCACGATCGAGGCACTAGGGCAGGTCCCCATGGCCACTCTTGCACCCTAATACCCCGAACACAGAAAACAATAATGCCACTCTTGCAGCATATTGATATTCGTCATCTTGGACATCCAAGGGCTTGCATCCTTACCCGTCCGTAGGCATGTCGGCTCAAGCCAGCGTGGGCTCAAGACAACCACGGCAGCCGCGATGCGGCGGCTGCGTGGGACGACCCATGATGAATACTACGAGCCACGGTGGAATCCTATCATAAGCCAGTGGGAAATACCCATGGTTCCAGACCTCTTCTGAGGGGGGGGCGCGTGGAGTGGGTACTTGCCACGGTATGGCAGTATCGATACGGACAACGTCAGGACCGAGCTCGTAGGAGCCCGTCGCCCGACAGGAAGCAGGCTCGAGGCTCGAGGGATTGGCGACCTCAGAGCTCCTCGTCGCTGTCCTCGACGTCGATCGCCGCGTAGATGCTCTCGTCCTGCTGCACGTCGCCCTCGACGTCGCCCTCGGCACTGGACGTCCGTGATCAGCGAGTCGCGCTCTGCGTCGCCCTCGGCACTGCCCGTGATCCGCTCGTCGCGCTCGGCACTGTCCGTCGTGATCGGCTCGTCGCGCGCTACACTGGCCGCCTGCTCTGCAGCGTCGCGCTCTGCAGAGCTCGACGCAAGGCCGCCTGCTCTGCTGTCGCCCTGCCCGCTGCCGTCGCCGACGTCGATCTACTGCCCCATGCCGTCGTCGATATGCTGCCCGATGCCGTCGTCGACGTCGATCTGCTGCCTGCTGCCGTCTGCCGCAATGATCTGCTGCCCGCTGCCGTCGTCGATCTGCAGCCCGCTGCCGTCTGCCGCAATGATCTGCTGCCCGTTAACGTCGCCGTCCTCGTCGATCTGCAGCCCGCTGCCGTCTGCCGCGTGGATCTGCTGCCCGATCTGCTGCCCGTTGCCGTCGCCGTCCTCGTCGATATGCAGCTGCTCGCTGCCGTCGTTTGCCTTCGTCATCCCACCCCTCAGCCTTCCTCCCCCCAGCCGCATTGGCAACGCCAGCTAGCTCGATCGACCGAGCCATGAAAACGGTCGCCGAGATTTTCGCGGTCGTGATTTTGTCTATACGGGATCCTCGGTAGTTTTTCTTCGTGAGTCGACGGTCCCAGAGCCCAGAAACGGCCTCGAGAGGCCGAGCAAGCCGAATAAAATCCGCCTTGAAATCACGGCGTCGTCGATCGCCGTCGTCGTCGTCGTCGCGCGGCGGTCGCTCAGGGCGCAGAAGGGCTGCGCTACCTCCCAGTGCAGGGGTCGTCGTATCGTCGTAGTCGTCGTCGTCGTCGTCGTCGTCGTCCTGGAGGAGGCGGAGGAGGATTTCGAGTATGATGCGTGGTGTGTGAGCGTAGCGTCGCGTACCGTGTGTATTGGAGGGGGAGTTGGAGGATCCCCTCATCCTCGTCGTCGTCGTAGTCGTCGTCGTCGTCGTCGTCGTCGTCGTTTTCGTGGTCCGTGTTGCGCCGAGGACGCCCTGGACCGCCTCGCGCGCCTCGCGCGCCAGCTTCTCGGCCCAGGGCGGGCCTCCGGTAGCGTGCCCCCGACGTCCCCCTTCTAACCCTCTTCCCCCCTGGCCTGCGCCCACCCTCCCCGCCCACCCTCCCCCCGTGGGCGCTCATGAGCGCCACGGCGGGCATGGCCCGCCACAAAGGAACGCCGAAGGTGGCGCCAGACGTGGTCGCGCAGGCGCCGCCAGGAGGGGTGGGGAAGGGGAGGGCAGGGAAATGGGTCGAGGGGACAGGGGAGGAGATACGTGGAAGCGGGATATGGGAGACGGGGGGAGGAGGACAACGGAGGGATATAGAGGGAAGGGGGGGAGGGCCGTAGATCCCCCTCCTCCTCATCCTCCTGCTTTCCTTGACCCCCCCCCCTTTTTTGCCGCGCCCCCTTCTCCTCCTGCCTTCCTTGGCCGTCCCCCCTCTTGCCCGCTTCTGGCCCTCTTGTCCAGCCTTCTTCGTTTCTATCTTGGCCAGCGCCCTCCTCCTCCTAATCCTCCTCATCCTCCTCCTCCTCCTCCTCCTCTCCCTCCTGGTGCTGCTCGAGAAAGACGTCGGGTGGCCCAAGCTTCTGGGCGCGCCGCGTGCTGGTCGATCGATGATCCGAGGACGAGGATTACCATGATGACGACGACAGCGACGACGGCGACGATGACGATGGTGACGACGATAATCACGATGATGACGGTGATGTCCATGGCAACGTCGACGATGACGATGACGATGACGATGACGATTATTATGATGATGATGATGATGATGATGATGATGATGATGATGATGATGGTGGTGATGATGATGATGACGTCGTGATTTTGTCTATACGGGACCCTCGGTAGTTTTTCTTCGTCAGTCGACGGTCCCAGATCCCAGAAACGGCCTCGAGAGGCCGAGCATGCCGAATAAAATCCGCCTTGAAATCACGGCGTCGTCGATCGCCGTCGTCGTCGTCGTCGTGCGGCGGTCGCTCAGGGAGCGCAGAAGGGCTGCGCTACCTCCCAGTGCAGGGGTCGTCGTATCGTCGTCGTCGTCGTCGTCGTCGTCGTCGTCGTCGTCGTCGTCCTGGAGGAGGCGGAGGAGGATTTCGAGTATGATGCGTGGTGTGTGAGCGTAGCGTCGTGTACCGTGTGTATTGGAGGGGGAGTTGGAGGATCCCCTCATCCTCGTCGTCGTCGTAGTCGTCGTCGTCGCCGTCGCCTCCCCCGTCGCCGCCCTTCGCGGGCACCCGAGGCGAGGTGCCCGATTTCGTGTACACCGCCAGCGACTTCAGCTCGAGGCCGAAGCCTAAAGAGATCCAGGCGCCGTGCTCGTGGTCTTCCGCTTGTCCGTCGTCGTGGTCTTCCGCTTGTCCTCGTCGTCGTGGTCATCCGCTTGTCCGTCGTCGTCGTCGTCGTCGTCGTGGTCGTGGTCTTCCCCTTGTCCGTCGTCGTGGTTTTCCGCTTGTCCGTCGTCGTGGTCTTCCGTTTGTCCGTCGTCGTGGTCTTCCGCTTGTCCTCGTCGTCGTGGTCTTCCGCTTGTCCGTCGTCGTCGTCGTCGTCGTTGTCGTCGTCGTCGTCGACGTCTTCGTCGTCGTCGTCGTCGCCCACGTCGCTATACCCGTAACGCCGTAACTCTTTCTTTTCATTTTTCTCCTCCTTTGCTTGTCCAACCGCCTCCCTCCCCGAGGTGTTCCAGCACCTGGTGGACAACTTGACTGGTGTCGGCGGCGGCCGCCGCTTCTCGCAGAAGCTGCTGATGGACAGCCCGGGGGGTCGTCGTCGCCGCCGCCACCGTCGTCGTCGTCGTGGGCCTGCTTGCGCTTCTCCTTCTGGCGGAGGCCCCCTTCCGTGAGAAATGCCTTTTCTGGCGATGCATCCGCCCCCGTCGTCCTCGTCGTCGTGGTATCCGCTTGTCCGTCGTCGTCGTCGTCGTGGTCGTGGTCTTCCGCTTGTCCGTCGTCGTGGTCTTCCGCTTGTCCGTCGTCGTGGTCTTCCGCTTGTCCGTCGTCGTGGTCTTCCGCTTGTCCGCGTCGTCGTGGTCTTCCGCTTGTCCGTCGCCGTCGTCGTCGTGGTCGTGGTCTTCCGCTTGTCCGTCGTCGTGGTCTTCCGCTTGTCCGTCGTCGTGGTCTTCCGCTTGTCCGTCGTCGTGGTCTTCCGCTTGTCCTCGTCGTCGTGGTCTTCCGCTTGTCCGTCGTCGTCGTCGTCGTCGTCGTCGTCGACGTCTTTGTCGTCCACGTCGCCTCCCTGGCCGTGGAGGATGCGTGGGACCGCTCCTACAAGTCAGCCTACGAGGAGGCGTTCAAGAACGATCACGGCCGCCATCCCGTGAAGAAACGAGTGTCTGGAGTCAGGCTCGCGGGGGGAGCTCAATGAGTTGACAGAGGAAGGTCTAGGGGATGATGAGGATGAGGATGATGATGAGGGATGGCGGGGATGATGATGAGGACGAGGATGATGACAATGATGATGAGGATGATGATGACGAGGATGATGGGGATGAGGATGAGGGATGATGAGGATGATGAGGAAGGTGTTTCATCCTTCCTCCGTCCTCTCTCATGCCCCCCCCCCCCTTACATTTTGCTTACTCACCCTCTTACCGAGTGACAGCCCCGACGAACGCCCCCCCCCCTCCTCCACGCCCTCCTCGCAGCGAGGTATCTGCAGTGCCGCCAGATCCGCATGATGCACAGCCACCACCTGAAGATATTGGGGAAGCGGGACTCCGATCCCCTGCCGCGCTGGGCGGAGAAGGAAGGGAGAAGGAATGGAGGAGAAAGGGAGGAAGAAGGGAGGACGAAGGCAGGATGTAATTCCCCCAGTGGGGTGCCAATATAATTCCCCCAGCGGGGTGCCCATATAATTCCCCCAGTGGGATGCCCATATAATCACCCCAGTGGGGTGCCCATGTAATCACCCAGTGGACGCCCGTATATAATCCCCCAGTGAGGTGTCCATATAATTCCCCCAGTGGGGTGCCCATATAATGCTATAATCCCCCAGTGGACGCCCATATAATCCCCTTGTGGGGTGCACATTTAATTCCCTAGTGGGGTGCCAATACAATTCCCTAGTGTAGTTCTGTCAGAGGGGTGCACATCTAATTCCCCAGTGGGGTGCCCATGTAATTCCACCAGTGGGGTGCCCATATCATTGCCGAGTGGGGTGTCCATATAATTCCCCCATGGGTGCCCATATATCCCCCCCAGTGGGGTGCCCATATAATCCCCCAGTGGGGTGCCCATATAATTCCCCCAGTGGGGTGCCCATCGCTGTATATACCCCCTCGCCTTCTCGCCTTGCCGTCCGCTCCCGCAGGACGGCGAAGTGGACGCCGACGTGGACGACGAGCAGCTGGCGATCTACTACGCCAACTCCTTGCTCGGCGACGACGTCGAAGAAGTGGAGACCGAGGTCGCTCGGAGGGGGCCGCGGGGCGCTCCGTCCGGGCGCGAGGGGGCCCCAGAGATCGATCCGATGTCGCGATGTTTTCGATGCGGGGTCGAGGGCCCAGTGAAGGCCTCCAGAGGCCGAAAACCAAAAGAAAAAACATCAAGAGCCCCAAGGCGTTCGATCTCTGGGCAACTGGGGGCAAGGCTTGAGGGAAGTGGAAGGAAGGAGGATGGGGTAGAAGGGGGTAGAGGGGAGTGGAGGAGGCTGGATGAAGAGCGGAGGAGTGGGAGCGGAACGGAGCGGCAGCGAATATATATATATATATATATATATATATATATATCTATATATATGCGCACGACGAGAGGATGATGATAACGATAACGACGATGATAACGATAACGATGACGATGGTGATGGTAATGATGATGACGATGGTGGTGATAATGATGGCGACGAGGACGGCGATGGCGATGATGACGGCGAAGGTGATGATGACGACGGATGGTTGTGACAACGACGGCGTCGCACTTGTTACTGCATGGGCCCATTGCCAAGGGGAGGCCGCCCACCTCCCGTTCAAAGATCCCGCAAGCTCGAAAAGCAGCTCGGCGCCCTTCCTGAAAAGCTTGCTCGGCGCGACGAAGAAAAAGAAGAAAGAGAAGACAAGTAAGAAGGATAAGAAAGAGAAGCGTGGAAAACCGAAGCCACATGTGCAGGCGCCGCCGTGGTTGGCGGCCCTGGCGGCCAGGAAGAGGCCTGCCTCTGCGACCCCGGCCGAGAGCCCGACCTCGGCGAAGGCAGCGGCAGTCGACGCGAGCGAGACCGACCCGACCCCCAATGCCAAAGCAAAAGCGAAAGCGAAAGGTAGCCCCAAAAAGGCGACGACAGCAAAAGCGACGACCGTGATGAAAAAGCTTGCAAAGAAGACATGAGCAGGTGGCCCCCCCCGAGGGCCCCGAGGACCCCGAGGGCGAGGCGGAGGGCGAGGGGGGGGGGGGCGACGAGGGCGAGGAGGAAGAAGACTCGTTCGCCCCAGACGACGAAGAGGAGGAGGAAGCAGCCGTGGCCGAAGAGGCAGCTGCCCAGGAGGAGC